ACACATATCTCTTTGTTTCTCTTGCAGCAGACCCCACGGAGATGATTGGTCTCTGTGTGTTTGCTTCTGATTCTGTGCAGGTCGACCCAGATAAAAACCTATTCTTGGGATAATGCTCAGGTAGTGCTGGCTGGAAATAAATGTGATATGGAGGAAGAGAGAGTGGTCTCAGTGGACAGCGGACGCCTTCTGGCTGAACAATTGGGTAGGTTGTTCAACAACATCCCCAGCTACAGGTATTTTAAATTATTACGCAATACATAGAAAGAGTTGCATACAAACTGTATGCACCACTTGCAGAAGTTTACATCCGCCTGGAACTTTCTCACATTCTGCCATGTCACTATAACAAACCCTAGTGCACATTATTAGAAATTAACTGGATAAACCTACATAAATATACAATTTATCATTTAAGGTACCGAGAGAAAGTTGATCAATGGTTTTCAACTTCCAAAAAAGTCTGTAAAGTGCGGATAACTCTGTTTTCTTTTCTGTAGGTTTTGAGTTCTTTGAGACGAGTGCAAAAGACAACATCAACGTCAAGCAGACCTTCGAACGTCTCGTCGACCTAATTTGCGACAAGATGTCTGAGAGCTTGGACACTGATCCGGCTGTCACCACGGGAGCCCCCACCGCCAAACTGACAGACAGCGCTCCACCCCTCCAGCAGCCTGCATGCAACTGTTAGTGGCCGGCAGTAGAAAGCTGTCAGGGCAGGAGAGTGCAGGAGGTCTGCGCTCTGCCAGAACCGCCCTCACCGGACTGCAGTTCAAAGCCTGTTTAGTAGTAAAAATTGCAAAGGCTGCTGCTTTATCTCCCAAACGTTATCACCTTATATAATAAGCAAGTGCAGTCATTACTAATGTAAAACATATAACATCACAGGTTATCTAGACTATAGGGAATCAGCATCCTTCAGCTAGTTAGTTCAATAATAAACCAATCCTGTCTGGCAGGACTTGAAATAGTTCAACACTTAAACTTACACAAGTTGTCCTTCAGACCTTTAATATCTTTATGAATACCTATACAAGAAATAGAATCAGAGAGTGCTTTAATATGTCTATGAAGTTTTCTGTATGGTGTAAATCGTCCTTTTTTTCTGGGTAATTTTGACTCCTAGAGTGGCCAAATCTAGGATTTAGCGCACTAGGCGATGTAGCGGCTTTCCTTTGTGTAACGACTGTCATAATAAGCCTCTGGCTGTGACTGTGCAGTAAGTGAGCGTGGATTTGCATGAATGTGCCATGTCATGTTGCCATTGATTAATCAACTACCTTTTGGGGGAAAAAAGTGGCCTTTCAGCATCTCCAACTCGGCCTCTGTAAGTCCCTCTGTAAGTCCTGCTTCCCGTTGGAATGAACCGAGTCTGTGTAACTGATGGGAGTACAGTTTCACCCTTTGCTGTATGTAGATGTGTGAAGTCTTCAATAAGTATCTGAAAAGCAACTCAATCCTTATCCTCTGCCTTTGATGCAAAGAGCATGCTGCCAAAAGGTCAAACATGTGTGCTGTTTTATCTGAAGATAGGCCTTAGCCAAAGCTCCTCATCCTCAACTCCATTTCATCGAAGCACAGTAAAGCATTCTAATAAAAGTACATGATGCGTCCTGGCATGGAATAAACAGCCATAATTTCTTATTCAGCATGACTTGTGCTGCAAAATTGAACCCCTTCTTTAAAAAGAGGAGAACAAGATGTATGTTGCTTAAAAAAAAAAATCATAAATATTCACCACCTTGGTTTTTAATAAATCTGTGCCGTGTAAAAGTCGTAAGTAGTTCAAAAATTCAAAGTTTCGGAGTTCATCTCATAAATTCATAAAAAGTGCCAAAAACATTACGGTTCAACTAACCTCTTAACCGTCCGTGAGCAAACTGGTGTCCTCATGACGGTTAAGGGGTTTTAACATTGTTGGTTGCTTGTTGCATAGGGAAACAAAACTACAAAAATGTAAAAAAAAAAAAAAATGCATGAAGTCAGTCCTGACGTATCGGTGTAGAATTATACTCTGAGACACTGTAAATATCACTCTGTCTTACAGATTTAGGAGCATTGTCATGGCACTCGCTGTGAAATGCAATGGGCCAACAAGTGCAATATTTTATGGATGAAACCCTGTAAATAGTTTCCTTCTGTCATCTTGTCCAACAGCTCCATCTGCAGTTTGCGAGAGAAAATAGGATGGCGTAGTTTTGAACATGCTGTGTGCTCTCTGAAAGGAGTGGGAGCTTCACTGACAACCTGCAGTCACTGAACGTTTGGTGTAATGTGTATAGTGGACATAAAAGACTGCAGACCCTGTTTAAAATGTCTGATTTTTGATCTGAGAAGATGAGTCCAAGATAAATCCTTTCAGAACGTTCCACTAGAACCCAGTTTGAGCTGAAAACAAACAACCCAAAGCATCGTGCTGCCTCCACCATGCCCTACTGTGGGTATCTTATTTTGGTGATGTGCATTGATTTTCTGTGCCAAACAGAAAGTTCAACCAAAATATCATAACACATTTTTCTACATATTTTTGGTGACATTTAATTTTTTTTGTGCAAAATTTATATTGACTGGGATGATTTAAAAAATGCTTTATGTCCTGCCACCTTGTCTCTGTGTTGCTACATGCATGGCAGACAGCTCTTTAGCATATTTACACTTTATATAGTTCTTAGCCTGCCGAAGAACTTTTATTATCTTTTTATTATCTTGATCAGATTTAATGTTTTGCAAATTCTTTGTACCCTTCTTGTAACTGATGCTGTTTGACAATGAGCTCCATCTGACGCTTTAGAAGCTGTTTGCAACCCGTGTGGTTTTCTGTGGAAAAAGTCTAAAAGAATGACTGAACTTTATTCGATGTGGATCAGGGGGACTTTAAATGATGGCAGGTGTGCAATGACTCCAATTTAATGCGGGTTGGAATGTGGCCACATCCAGTGTTTTACGAAAGTGAGCAGACTGGTGCAGCCGTATTATGGGAGTCAGATTGTTTTTAATATGGTTTTTAAGGTTAGAGGTCACATTAAAGGGGTAAACATTCTGAAATCATCTATCTTGACTTCTTTGTTTAACATCACAAAATCCTCCCACTTTAACAGGGATGTAGACCTTTTATATTTACTTTTACTGTGTGGATGCGTGTACGCGTACATGTGTGTGTATATATGTCTGTCTGCCATCCTGAAGAGATGAATTAGAGTTCTATAGTGTATTGTTTATGTATACCTTTTTGTACAATTGTATTTGCGTACTGTATGCTGTTCCTGCTAACTGTTGGGTGTTGACTGAACTTCTGTTATGTCAGTGTTGTGCAAATAGTCAGGGAGATAAACCTAGTCCATGCCATATGCTGTACTGTTAACACAAGAAAAGGGATACACTTAAACTTGCACACAAAGTGTGTTTGTTAACATATGTGTGTGTCTTATAATATAACATGTTGGAATAAATTATAGTAGATCCCAAGAAAAGATTCATTTCATAGAGAAAAACAGTCAATAGGATAAATAAAATCTCATTTTAGAAACCTTTACATATAACTGAATATATTTCTTGGAGTGCAAGCAAAAATGAAATTGTATGTTTTTGAGATTATAGGAAATAAATTCAGATTCTATGACGGGGTCTCCGTTTTATTTGTCTTCTTCACTGACTGTTATAAAGCACGATAGGGGGCGCTGGAGGCTGGTGAACAGTACAGACCTCTGTTGATGCACTGGAAGTGGCTTTTTTGAGACAAAGTGCGCCACCTAGTGTTAAAATGAGATCTCTACAATTTCTTCCATTTGCTCTTCCTGTCAGACATTTTCATCAGTCAAAATTATAACACGTGCTCAAACACACGCGCAAACATACATTGACATATGAAATAAATTCACTGTAACCCTCAGCGAGCTTCTGGCATCTTCTCCTTATAACTGGCTATTGTCTAAGATGGAAGATCTCATTAAAAGTGGTTGATTTCTGTGTAACCTAAACCTCTGATCTTTAAGGAAAGGGCTATGAGAAGGTCATTTAGGAAGCTTAATGTAAGACTCTATTATTCTCATTTTCATGGCTTTATGACAAAACTATTGGAACAGCCCGTCTAAAGATTTCCGCACCCGTCTCAAAGTGTTTCTCCTCAGGTGACTCCAAAATGGTTAGGGTCATCGCAAACAACCAGGTTCAATCCAATCAAAAGCGACAAGATGCTGATACACTGCTGTCACAGTTCACATATTTTCTATGCTTTACAGAAAGAAATAAGCCCCTGTTCCACATACCTACTCTTACAAGTTGGACTAAAGTATGCTGCTGTCAAAATGAACAATCCTAATGACCTGCTTGAAAAGATTTTTTTATTGTCACAAGTGGCCTTTATTTGCGAGAGGTCAAACAGGAAAGCGGTTAATGAGACAGACAGAAAACGTGCAGCTAAAGTCATCAGGTTTGGACTCAAACCTGTGACAGCCACGTAGACGACTATGGCTTCCATACATGGGCGATGCTTTGCCGCCGCACCCTGGCAGCAGCCTCCTTCAAAAAATGTTTCATGTTCACCTGCAACAAAGATGAAGAGTTTTGGTCAAAATAACAATAATGAAGTTTATGAAAAGTTAAGCTTCGAAACCAAAAATAAAAGATGTATTATAAGACCAGATTTTTTTTTTTTTTTATACCAGTGTTTGTTATAGTCAAAAGAAAATGAGTCAGCCAAAATGGACAGTCAGAGAACAGAAGAACTAAATATAGGACAATAAAAACCCAGCTGCTGCATCTAGTTCTTACTTTATCAAATGTAAACATAATCTGCATAGCGAACATTTAGGACTAAAGGTTTGCTATGCATCTCTTGTATCCATAAAATAAATACAATTCTTATAACATGTAAACTTGAAGAAAACATCTAACTAAACTTATTTATACACAAGAAATCTCTTGAATTGATACAGAAATTTGCTTTTGTCTCTCAGACGGCCTCAAATAAAATAAAAACATTTGAAACAATAACAACCAACCAGTGAGTAGGCAGAATCAACCCATGCTTTTATTTATTCCATTGCATATAAAAACTTTTTTTCATTCTTTTTTGTTTTGTAGATAAAGTCGTATGATCTACAGTGCTATCCAATAGACTGCGATTAACAAGGAATTCGTTAAAATAACATTTTAATTGTCCTGTGAAACGTCCAGACAAGTTGGCATTCTAAAGACATAACCCAAGAAAATAATTGTCCTGAAGACCATTTCTTGTTTTTCTGAAGTTACAGTTTGTGTTTTCCTAGCACACCTTAAAAAAATAGAACACATAATGAGAAAAGAACCCACAATTTCCATTGGTCCAGGGCTGTTTAAAATCTACAGTATGTGTGTCAAAATAAGAGTCCTGCTTTCAGGACAGTGATGCAGTCCCCACTACCCCCCACCCATTTTCTCCAGTACAGAAATATAGCAGACCCCTCTTCTGTCCAGGCAGAAACATGTCAGTGGTCCTGGATATTGCAGGTCACGTGAGTGGAAGTGTGAGCCGAGCATGGATGAGCAACACATTGTCAAGTGTTTCAGCCAGAATTAATGCAGCAGTGGCTGAACGTGCAGATGTGTCCCAAAGCCTCTGTGCTTCGGATGGCCGTAGTCGAGCACCAACTACACACTGCTGTAACGCCCCATTCAGTGTTTGGTAAAAATTTAAGCTGTGATTCAATCAGAAATCTGACAGCAGAGAGTCATTCGACAGCTTGAGTCTCGTCTTTTGAGTGCAGACGTAGAGCGTAAGTACAGTGTGAGCCGTTCAGACCAGCAAAATAAGAGTCTTTGACATCCAGCTACAGGCCACAATCACTCATGTGGTGAATGTATGGCTTGTGGTTAACCTGAACGCCTCAACAAACCTCTGCCCCTAATTGTGACTAATGAAAAAAAGGCATCTTATCTCCACACGTCGTCAGGCCAACCAAAGCCAAGCAATTCACCCAATGCAGCAAAGGAGAACTAGAGAATAAAAAAATTAAAAAGGCTAAAAAGTGTATGATGTGTTAAATTTTAAGGCACAGCCCATGGGCCAAGGAACAGCTTCTTTTTAAAAAAACAATTTGGCTTTCCTCTCTCACTCGTTTTCTCTCTCTCTCCTTTCTGAGCTAGTTCTCAGGTGAGCAAAAAAAGTTTATGGAGCGTTTTCTATTCTTTTCTTCATCTTTTTTTTTTTTACACCGAAGCTCATGTTAATAAACATTCTCTCAACAAGAGGTACATAATACAGCCACGCCATCACCAAAAGGGATGATAAGAATCAACCATTTACAGCAAACTGCATTATGATAGTAATAACATTAATAATTATATATTATATACAGCACAATAAATATATGTTTGTAAACAGCAATAAACCAGAAATTCTTATTACAGGTAAGGGCATTCGGTGAGGATGAAAAGAATAAAATTAAATATTGGCACAAAATAAAAGTTAAATAATTTGTTTTCTTAAATGGCATATCAGTAAAACAAGACCCTCTTTGAAAAAGCAGTGTGCAGTATTTCAAGTTGTTGTTTTTTTTTACCTTTTGTTTTTTCTATTATTAGTTAATATCTTCCAAAATATTTTATTTTGTACAAGGGGAAACGAAAAAAAGTGAATTTAGGTGTAATAACTGGCAAGCTTATGTTATCTATGCTACAGTGAAGTATCGACTGTACCACCTTTATATTTCAAAAACAACTGTAACAAATAGAAAAATATATAGCAATAAATAATAGCTTCGAGTTAGAATGACAAAAAACATAAAAGAGGAGACAATGATGTTAAGCCTGCATTCAACAAGGAGTCGGTGTTTGAATGGGTTAAAAATATTTAAAGAGATGGTATGCAAATGTATTAGTGCATTTAAATACAAGGGAATCTCAATAAATTAGAATATTATTAAGAAAATGATTTAAAAATAATTTGATTTATTAAACAATAAATAAAATCAAATTTTCAGTCAATTTAGCTGAATATGCTTTACGGTTAATTCAAATCCAAGCGTCTCAAAAATGTTTTCCCATCACTTGTGCAGTTTTTCTTTCCACTTGAATTTTCTATCAATGTTCTCTCTGGCTCTCTGTGGTGAACCAGCTTATTTAAAACCGACCATTTGTGGCATAGGAGTAAATAAAAGTACTCCTACTTTTATTTATCTAATTAAATATGCAGATTTTTCAACAAACTAAATTAGAATTTTCCTAATATAATCAACAAAAGCAACTGAAATAAATACATTAAACTTATTACTATTTCACATTTTGAAGTGAATTGCTGAAATCAATGAACTATTCAGTGATACACTAATTTACTGAAATGCACCTGTAACAATGTGGAGAATGGTCTTATCTGATATTTATGCTGTGCAGCTGATTGTCTTGTTGAAAACAAAAACAGTAAACTGGACTTAATGGCAGGAATCTGATGAGAAATGAATCGTTGAAGGCTAAAGATAAGCAGCAGGTGCCGATGTATAAACCAAGCCAAACAGCTAAGAAAATAAAACTAATTTCTCTTTACTTTGTTATAAAATCACCCCAGTCATTTTCGACACCATTACTATTTCTAAACATTTGGAGCACTAGTCAAACCTCTAAAAAAGGTGCTTTTTGTAATAACTACAAAGCATTGCATTGTCTCAGGATGTGTTCAAAAGAACTATAGGCAACAATAAAAACATTTAAGGGCTTACTCCAGGTTATAAACGACTCCCATGAGAAGCGAAGCACAAGACCTCAGGATTCTGCTTCCTTCTCAGAGAAGATTTTCTCTAAAAATAACAGTTACCAAAAAGAAAATACAGATTTTAAGACACAGAGCTAATTGAATACAAGTATAGTGGTACAGGAGTATAAATGCTTTTGGAGCTCTTTTGAACAGCTTCCAAAAGCTTTACATCTGACACATGTCTCCCTCTACGTTTCTACAAGGTTCCTCAACTTCTCCTGTTTAATTTTGACAGCAAAATTAAACTCTAGAAATGGAAAATATCTGAATCTTACATACAATACAAAAAAAAAAAAAAAAAACTAGAGGGTTAGGACTACATCATGGTGGTTCAGATTTGAGTTTTTGTCAGTCAGGTTATGGAGGAAGACTTCCACATTGCAAATGTAGTTTAAAAACAGCATCCCAAATGTGCTGCACCGACCTGTCGGGTTTTGAGCAAAAGCATTCTTTATAATTTATTGTGGAAGGGGAGGAACATGATCAAGGAGATATATAAAAATAAAAGGGAGACTCTCTCCAATAACTGACCCTATGAAGTTATTGGCACTTCATAAAACATAAAGACACAGGTGAACTTTCTGGTGAGGCTGAGACAGAAGCAAAAAACCAAAAAAAAAAAAACAAACAACAAATGTGATGTATGAGCAGCACTGAGGAGACCGTCCGCATGTACAACTAAAGAATGTAAGGAGGAGGTGGAAATAAAGACACACCACTTCAGTACGAATGGGAATGAAAGAGAGTTCTTCCTGAGTGCAAAAAAACTTGAAGTAGTACCAATGGGCGTGTCTAAATAAAGGAGACGAGAGGAGTAACCCAGGGTGAGGAGCAGCGCACGCTTTGGAAACACAGACGTATAAAAAACAGATTTCACAAAACTCAAAAAATATTCTATAAATAATAATCTGTCATTACTAAGAGGAGCAGTTAATCAAAGGCTGTCCATAACTGCTATGTGTCAGGGGATTTCTTCTCCTCTTCGTCCTCTGCCACCTCTTCATCTGCAGCACACGGCTCTGAGCAGGGGGTCTCCCCCTCCTCTTCTGCACCCCCCTCCTCATCGTCATCGTCGTCGTCCTCCCCCACCTGTTCGTCCAAAGGTATCTCTGTTGATTCGGAGTCCTGCGTACAGAGTGTTTTAGAGTCAGTACAGCTGTTTTCCTCTTCTTCCTCTTCCTCCTCCTCCTCCGGCTGGCTGCCACTGTCCTTTTCAGTGTCGGACTCCCCGTCCTCCTCCAAGGTCAGCTCAAACTGGAACTTGTCTGCTCCTGGGGGTCGAGTGCTGTCCTCTGGCTCATCTAAAGCTGGAGATGGACTTTGGGGGATAGTGCTTTGGTACCACTCTCTATTGTCCTCCAATGTGTCCAAGATGTCTTGTGCGTCCGGATGGACAAGGTCAGCCCACGTCTCCCACAGGGGGTGGACGATATAGTCTATGAACCCAACCTGCAATAGAAATGAGGTTCAGTCAGTGTTGAATTGCTTTGCATGTAGGCGCATCTTTTTTTTTTTTTTTGCCATCCTGGAATCATCACCTGGCTCTTTTCTACAGAGGCGTTGTGTTTGTCACACATGGGGCTGATCTCCATCCCCCTCTCTCTTTCTCTGTCCCCTTGGCTGAAGAACTCCTCCATGATGCGGTCCGTCCACTGTCGGTACAGCTGAAGAGGCTTGGTGGGGTTGCTTAGGTCAGCACAGTGGACCATGTTCTGGAGAACCTGAACCCAGACAAAATCTGTCAGTTATCCCCTGATGGGCTCTGACTGATTATCACCAGCTTGAACAAATTCATTAAATCGATTAATAAAATAGTCCAAAGTGGACTATTTTTCACAATGCATTGCGAGAATTAAAGCTTAATTATAGTCATGATTCTACATGTTTACAGGGGAAGTATGAAATGATTCACAAAGTAAGACTGGGGTCCTGATGGAGGCATTTTGCTAATTGAATGAAGTGGAGTTTTCCCCCCAAACAATTTAGCTGTTTTGCAGCCTTCAGAGTGACATTTATAAAGAGGGAGAGGATGTATTGGGTATTGCAGTCTGTTTGGTTTGTCCTGTGATCTGCTCTGCATCTAAAACTCAAAAATGCCCACATTTACAATACAGGAGCTTTTTCTCTGAGTTAAACTGAAATAAACCATGAGCAGAAGTATCAACGACTCATACCACAACAAAACAAAGATATGCAAGCTTTAGTTTAAATCACAGAATAAGCAAGACAGAAATTAATTGATGTCTGTAGTTGTTTGGTTTGAATTAGATATTGGTTTAAAACCAAGGGATGAAGCTGTCATTTTAGCTTTCTTAACCCCAATAACCCATGATGGGAATTGACATTTCAGGGCTGTTATGAAGAAGACCTGGCTTTGGATAGAAAATAGATATCTGAATATCCCTGATAAGTGAATAATGCAAGACAAAATCACAATACTAATCTAAAGCCAATATCGTTATTTTATTGTTTTTTAAAGGTATCAAGTTCCAAGCTTGAGTTAATAGACTTGAACATACTATAAGACCGATACTGTCAGAAATAATAATAATAATAACAAAAACTCATTATTGTTTTATTTTACTTTTTTTTTTCTGGACCTTGAAGCTCACCTGTATCCTGTCAGAGTAGTTGTCCAGCAGCAACACACCGGAGCTGGTCACTTTCTTTGTTTCCACCATCGTCTTCAGGTCAGCCAGCAGATTCATGTGTTTGGACATGTCTGTTGCTAACACCTATAAACCCCCAGAAGAAAAAAAAAAAAAAGAAAACAGAGCACATGCAACTCAGTGTTTTTTTTTTAGGGTTTTTTTTTGGCAACAAAACAACTCCTTTTGTGATCATTGAACTTACGATGTCAATGACCATCTTTCGCAGTGATTGTCGCTGTTTTTTGGTCAAGTTTTGGAAGATGTCACAGTTCTCCTCTTGCAGTAGCTTGAAACCAACTGCTAAGTGGTGGTTCTCCAACACTGATGAGTCATTGTACATCAAGGCTAGCTCTGAATCTGCAAGGAAGACAGAATCAATTATTTTAGGTGTTACGTTTAAGTAGAAAAATATGTCTGATGCTCTGTGAAACGAGCACCATCATGTTTCATGCATAGCTTTCCTTTACCAGCTTCACTTGCTCTGACCGTTGGAACGCAATAATGTGAAAGAGGATCAGAGTGAAGAAAAGGGATCCTTATCTCTTGCTCTTTTGGTTGACAGAAGATCGGTCGGGTGATTCCTAACTAGGATGACTCATACCGTCTTTACTGCAGGGATCACCTATTTGGGCTTTCAGGGAAACACTGCACAGTTTGTGTATGTTCGTGTGAGGAGTACGAGACTGGATTGTGTCCATTCTGAACTGATTAGTAACAGTCTTTTGCAACATTTGCCTGGAGGATGGTTGTTTAAAGCGATGCCGCCCAGTGGACATAAACTCTGTGTTTTTGGTATAAATTGCCAAATTAAAGCGGCGTCCCCCGGAGCCATAATGAGGGTGAGTCAGTTAAAGAGGCATAGCCAGGGTTGAGATTGTTGCTCAAGGACACATTTAGTAACACAACACCATTAGCCCTCTATGTTAGGCTTGAAGCTCAGCTTACCCTTTCTCAACATTTTGTTGCACTGAGTCAAGCTTTTACTTTTCTGGCTTTAGAGATATTCTTTTTGTGATTTAAGCCAGTTTCAACTGGAAGACACCAGAAATTTAGAGCTTATGCTTCTGAGTTTTATTTGTAAAAAGAAAATTAGAGGTGAAGGATCATTTCCTTTCCACTTCAGAATTATACCCAATTTTGGGTTGATCTATTATATAAAATCATAATATAACACGTTAAGGTTTCTACTCTTTGCTTCACAAAATGTAAAAAAAAAAAAAGAAAAAAAAGTTCAGGCAGCATGAATACCTTCACCAGATGCTGTATGGATCATTTTAAATTGTAGAAAATTCTGTTTGAATTTCTGTATTTGTTAACCTGAGTTTCTATTTACACTTACTGGTGTTGATGAGGAACTGGTTTGAGACTCCGGGATGGTCCACATCATGAATTGCACTGGCGAAGATGGCAGCGAGGATCTCAAGGTCTGTGAACACAGCCTGAGAGGAGAAAAAGCGGAGCACAGGCAGGGGGGAAGGAGAGAACATTGATTAGACTTCGAGTAGAGGGGGTTTGATTGAAGCTACTGTAAAAAGCATGCGATGCGTGTTTATGAGCAGACATCTGAAAACGTCTGTGCACGCGAGTTTTACCTCAAGGGCAGGGGTGGATAGCAGCACGTGAGTTGACTGGGTGACGTCAGCAGCATGGATGTTGTTATGGTAGGCCACATCGGCATGATAATGGTCTTCTAAGGTCATCAGGTATGTTATGAAGGTGTCGAGTGGGATTTTGAACGTTTTTAACAAGTCTCTCTCCTGAAAGTCAAAAAAAAAAAAAAAAAAAAAAAGATCAAGAAACAGAAAGCGTTTTTTTAAAGGAAATAATTGTTTTCAAAGGGAATAATATTCTGAGGTAAATCTAAAAATATTTACCTGAAATATTGTGTACATCATGACTGTCAGTGGCCGATTCCCAGAGAATTCTGAGATTTTAAAAACATTAAGGCCCCATTTGTTCACATGTTCCAGCTCCTACAGAAAGATTTAGACACACAATCAGAACATGTTTAAGTGTGTGCCAGGCCGGGGCTGTTTCCACCAGTTTCTGTGAACATGCAAACACACCTTTGCCAGCTCATCCTCAGTCTCCGTCTTGACGCCGAAGCGAGGGATGTTTGAGTTTGTGAGGCTGGAAGAGTGTTGCAGCTTTTTCACTCCGCTGATCTGAGACATGGGCTTGTTCTTCTTCTCCTTCTCTTTCTGTGTCTGCGGGGACGGCATCTCCACCTCATGTTGTTTGTCTGCGCCGTAACAAATGAGTTGATTGTGAGAACAACTATTAAGAATTTTTTTTTCTAATCCAAGTAATTCCTGAGTCATCACTGACCGAGAAATGTGCTGGAGATGAATTCAGACACTTGGTTCCCAGATCGGCTCATCTCTGATAGGTGAGTCAGCTCCCGATTCAACATCCTCTTAAACTGAAACGAGGACACACACACAAACATGATGGCTTTGACAGCTTATAATACAGAAAAAAAGCATCAAAGTAATTTCTTTTCCAGCTGCTCACAAAATCTGAGTTCAGGTGCACCTTGATTAACAAGACCAAAAAAGTTTACTTATTTCACCGATTTCATTTGAAACATTTAAATGAAATGCGTTCATTTTAAAGATTGTGGCTTACACCTAATTTTCTGAGAAAGGCAGCAGTTTACATAAATCTAATAAAACTGATTTTGACTGATTTTCATTGCTGCTTTGGTATCTTTTCCCACCGTTATCGTTTTTCTTCCATTACACTTTTCATTCAACAAGATTGATAGCGAGCTGCCTGAACTGACCGCTTCTTTAGCAATGAATTTTTGTGTTTTAACCTCTCTGGGCGGAGTGCCATTGACTGCCTGCTGAACCTCCGTAAAGTGTAGCATAACATTAACATGGGTGGCAAAGTAATTTTCAATTGGTATGATGTCATTTTCTAATTTTCAAAGAAAATGAAGATGCAAAAAGAAAGAAAAATGGGAAAAATTAAATCCCCCACCTTGCGCACCTATATTGAAATACAAATATCATTAATAAGAATGAAGGGAGTGAAAATAGCATTGAATAGTCCAGTAGAGTTTATGTATTTAACTTCACAGAGGTTTGAGTCACTTGCCTGTTAAGTGCACAGAAACCGTGGAGTGCTAGTTACATAAATCAATTTCAGTTGAAGATATTTAAATTTTAGAAACGTCTAGCCTCATCAGAGAAGCAGCTCCCAGGAGTCATGTTTTTTTGGTTTAACACACACACAAACACACAGGATGATTATAGAAAACTACTCCAACAAGCACAAATAAACAGTAACCCAGATTGCCATTTTCTTTTAATTTTTCCACTGCCACACTGCCAGCCTCTTCATCTTGCTCCTCTGCATCCTCATTCCCTCTTCTTTCCCCAGGGCTGTGCCTATCTATAAACACAAACCCAAATTTAGCCCTGGCTTTTGATCTGGGGACCCAAAAGACATTTAAATCTTGATGAGATTGTTGTAATCTACGGATTTTCTAACGTAGCTGCAAAATTGAGAAGGATGAGCATGCAGAGCACTGCAGATCACAGAAATCTATCGCAGAACTGATATATTTTATTAAACAACAGTCTCTTTAACCAGGCACAAACATATCAATATAATTTATTATTTTTTAAAAAAAAGAATGTCATAACTATGCAAATCAACAAAATCATAAGAGAAAAAAAGCATTTGAGTTTTGAGATTCTACTGTGTAAAAAAAGAAAATTATTATTACTTAAGAAATATAGACAAACCTAAGCATCTTCAGTAATGCTGACCTGTAATAACCAAATAATAACCAAACATAAATGAAAAAAGAGAGAGATTCTCTATGGCCTAGAATCTAAATCCTATGCTTGTTTTCTGAGCTTTATATGTAAACCTTTCATACATTGTTGTTTGTTCTTCTCAAAGATAAGTCCCAATTGATAAGGGCTCCAGAACAGTCACACATACAAAAAATTATTCTGAGGTCGACGTTTTGGTGCAGTTCTAAATATAGCTGATTGTGTGTTCGTTAAAAGCATCATCCAAATCTGTCTAAAGCTTTAAAAAAAAAAAAAAAATCATAATCAAGCTCTCTTTTACACATACTGTATAGCGCTAATGTTGGTGTAAAAGATGAAACGTTGAACCTAAAAAAAAAAATAAATAAATCTACCTCGGGGTAACAATTCTTACCTTTATGTACCCCCAGGAAACAGAAAGAAGATAATTTGCTTCAGGCATTTTGACAAAGTAGATCCAGAAACAGAGAGGGTACAAATATATGTCCTTGTGAAGTGCTCACAGACAAAACAGAAAAACAAAAGCAGCCCAGTCTACTTTCCTCTACCAAATGCCAACCTTAGGAGCCCTCAGAGCTCAGTTCAGAGTTAAGCATTTGAGCAGGGTCCACAAATGAAGCTTCATGTTCCGGTCCTGTGAATATCCATAAACATGTGCCGATGTCCCAGAAAGCAGAGAAGAAACGCAGATTCTGGATGATAAACAGCGGGGATGTGGCTCAGAAGGTCCAAACACTGCATATTGAGATCACACACACATACACAAACTCTTGGATGTAGGGACACTGCTGGGGCTCTGAATAATTGATGATGGTGCGGAAACTTGGTATATGCCAAAGCAACAGGACAGTAAAAAAAAAAATCTATGAACTCCTCCCAAACAGGACGGGCTGCCTGCTTCTGTGTGTATGACACACTCTCCCATGTGAAGAGCACAGGCTGCCTCTCTCACCATGTCACACAACGGCAGCAAATCAGGGTAGAGAGCCTGAGCTCATCATCACCTCTGATTGGCTTGGATTGGAACAGACTTGAGACTACCTGCTGCTTGATTGGCCACCACTGAAGTCAGTGGAAAAATCTACGCTTTTCCCTTTTCCTCTAATTCCTACAGTGCAGCAGGATGTTGTTTCGTGCATGTAATGTGCAAAAAGTGCATCCATATTGCGTTAATCCTGTGAAAACAGTATGTGTGCTTGTGATTACAAATGAGTAGCCTCACCTTTTGTGCAGCATGATGTAAAAGTACAGGTTACCTCATCCAACATGTTGCAGTAATAATAAAATAATCTGAGGTCACCCTCCATCCGAGTGTCCATGGGCGGTGAGTCACGCTAGCATCAATGATGTGATGATGTAAATATGGAGAAAAAAGACATAAATCTTACAAAAAGAATGAGCGTCAGTTATCTGAAGTGGCCTCAACAATACAGAAACTGCACAATGTTTTTCACTGCACTCAAAAGGCTTAATTTCAAACAGATGTAGACATTTTAAAATATGGTATTTTCCTGAGAAGTGCACAAAACCTAGGACTTTAAATAACATATATTTGTCATATTAATATAAATGTGTTTTATCCTTCTGACCAAGAAGCTGAAAGAAAATTTCAGATCAAAATTCTTGAGAAAGAGACAGCTATTTTTGTTCATTGCAAATAAATTGGTGCTGTTCAATATCAGAGAATAAGGGACATTAAATTAATGTCGAAACCTAACTACATCATCCAAGGCAGCACTGTAGAACAAAAAACAGAGAAGGGCTGTTCTATGTGAAGTACTGGGGAACAATTTCAGGGGAGATTTGAAAAAAAAAAATGCTAATATGCACCAACATGCTTATGACTGAAATGTACTGAGAAAGTCTTAGTAAGGGCCGAGTATGCAGTTTTTCCACAAGTGCTACAAGAACCGTAATTCCTAATTGTTTTTCTTATCTATCTATCTATCTATCTATCTATCTATCTATCTATCTATCTATCTATCTATCTATCTATATATATATATATATATGTATATATATATATATAGAACTAGCATGAACTGCACTGAAAATATAATATATGCCATTTATCTTCAAGCTGTTAACATTTATTTCTCATAAACATATAACTGAATGGAAGGACATCATATTGTTTGGAAAATGTATGAGAAGGAAGTCTTTTTTCCTTTATATGTGTGCATACATGCATTATCTTAGTGAGGGCACAGCGGTTGCATGGATTGAAAAAAGACCGAGCATGTCTCTGCTTACTTTACACCCAGACTCAGCAGCCGGCCTGGTACTGTGAGTAATTTACAGCTACGCTGGAGCAGATGAGACCACCTGCTAACTGACATCCAGAGTCTTTGACTAACTCTGAGCCAAGCAGGCCAGCACAAGCTCTCCACACACAGACACACCTAATACGCTTGCAATTTATCTCAGGGTGAATAATACAGAAATAGTGCTCAGAGACACCCCTCCCTGTGTAACTCACTTTCACCGTCACAAACACACACGTACAAAAGCACCAGCTTAGTCAAGAGGTGTGAACACACACTATTGGGTAAAAATTGGAAAGTGTCACACCTATCTTAGTTGTGACTTGTGTGTAATTTGTTCCTCAGAGGAGCAACCAAAAATACCCATTCCCTGCTGTACATAGCCCTCAACACCTTCGTGTCTCTGTTGATTTTTTTCTTCTCACATTCAGCATTTAATCTGGCAGCAGACACCCCGTCTCTTCACAACACAGACAAACTGCAGTCCGCATCTTCAATGAAAATACAGCAGTCAGTTCTTACTCCATTCCACATAGTTGTTATAAAGAGGAGACATGAGGACATACATTGATAAACAAGCTACTTCTGAGCAACCTTAAAAGAAAGAAAGTACAAGAAGTTCAGCTGCTGTAGAATGAGTTTTAGATGTAAGAATAGTCACTAAAGAACACAGTGAAGGCCTGTTTTAGAGGCTGCTTTATTGTTCAGTCCCAACAAGCAGCTTTTTAAATATTCTGCATCAGTGCCCCTGCTAAATCATCTACAGATAGATGTTATCGGTAATTTTTTTTGTACAAAGGAAGAACCCGTTAGAAGCAGTTTTATTGATTGCAGCTTACAAAGTTGTGGTGGAAACCAGACCTCTGAAATAAGAAAATGTTTTTGAGATATACTACGAAAATTTCACAAAATGAAAATGAGTATGCTCAAGCATTATTCTTTAATCATTAGAAGAGCTAAAGAGACAAACACAAACAAATATAAGCAATATATTGGATGTTGAAGCGGTGTTGTCACTGCAACTCTGTTTATTGGATTTAGTTGAAATGTTGGTAAACTCAGTCTAATTTCAGTGCTTCTTGTTTTTATGGAGAAACTTTTATCAATAAATAAAAAAAAAATCCTAACAATCAAAATGGTTTTCACCCTTAATTTTCACAAATTGACTAAATAGACACTGTTGCTTCTTTGGCATCTCATTTCAGAAAATATAAACAGAAGTAAGAATGATCTAAAATGGTTAAATGATCTTTTAGATCATTTAAACCTGAAATGAAGTTGTTCATTTTTTAGTAACACAAAAACCAAAACAATCAATGAGCTAGACAAAAACTCAAGAGATGTGCAAAAAAAGCAGATAATGGCCTTATTCACTTATTTTGAAGTATTAGATGAAAATTTAAACAAAAAATGGGCAATAATATTTTCAAATATTTTTCAAGAACTCAGATCATATTAAATAAATCTAAAGTGGGCCATCCTTAGAAAATGTAAAATTTTCTTCCAAATCATTGGTTTATGAGCTTCATGATCATATGCATCACCAATTATGAAAAAAAGAGAAACCAAGCATTCAGTGAAAATCCCTGTTTATTCCTTAAAATAGCTCAAAGTGACACTTTTGAAAATCTCTCCCCTTTTATCTACAGTGACCTCCAAAACTGGCGACTTAAGCAGCACACAGTGTTCTCTCAGCAGAGACCGAAAAAGATTTAGATCCCTCATCAATTAAAACGATTTATTGAATACTTTCAAACAAATACAACATGAATGTAAAGTTCGAGTTTGAAATGTGAAAAACTACAAGAAGCATGCCCTTGAATACAGCCTGCCAAGTAACGCAACAGTTTCAGGTCACAACTTGCATCATCATGCAGGTTTGTTATTAATATAAAGATTAGAAATCCAAGAAATGAGGACAAGTTTTGCTGTAATTGTATGCATTCGGGTTGATTGTTTTCTTCTAGTCTCTAACGTTCCTTCATAAACATCTGAAGAGTTATGTTGACAAAAAAAACAAAAACAAAATAAAAAGTTTGCGGGCCTCAGACACCAGGTGATCACTAAAGATGTTACCTGTGATGTTTGCGTATGTATGCGAGTTAGTGGAGAGATAGCGGGGCGGCCGGGCCTGTGGCTGTTACCATGACAACTGGAGATAGCTCTGTTGGTGAGCGACGATGAGGCAGAGCTGTACTCTTGATTTCTCATCTCTTTTAGAAATCTCCTCAAGTCTAAATGAGGCCAAGTTGTGGATGGGCTAATGTTAGAGGTCAACACTGTGCAAGTCCTTTGTCTTGTCTGCCCTCGCCATCTCTCCTCATCTTTGGTCTTGTGACATCACGGTGCGTGACATCACGAGGACCGAGTGCTCATCAGCATTCAGAGCGACGCAGCAACCTCCTTCCACTTACACGAGCACGCGCACACAACACACACTGGACACAACTGAGCATGCTCATACCTGGACTCCCTGCCTGCATGACAATGCTATCCCTAAGAAAACAACACGAACGATTTAACTTTTGACGTTGATGTGCTACAGAGTACACAGCAGATGCAGGTCATGACAGCTTGAGCACGTTGAATTTCTACCCGAGAGGCTCACACTTAAACAAGAGGACATTATTTAAGTAATACTGCACTGATAGCTACCACACATACGACAATCAATAAAATCAACAGTGCATGATGTACTGGAGCTTGCTGTTCTTTTCTTCATTTATCAAGATGTGCTGATCGTGAGCATTATGCTAACAATTGAACAACTACATTATTGTCTATGACAACATACCAGCATATGCAGCACTCAACAGAGTACATGTAAGAGGAGTGTCCTTGGAAAAGGTGTCGGGTGAGGACTGACGGCAAATAAAAATGAATTTTCTTTCATAAATTATTTGAAAAGAATTGAGATCACCCTACGTTTTGAGCAAACTCAGCATACAGTTATCTAGTACAGAAAAAACAGTCTAATTTTAGGGTCAATTGACCCTGACCTGCGTCAGACGGTCAGAAACTCAGAAATCCAATCGTTTTCCTATCAGTGAACATGACACCAAGACATCACTAGTCTGGCTACACACTGCAGGGTGGAGGTTTGAGTGAAGTAAAGAGGAAACACAGAGATACTACATGATATTTAAAAAGGGAAATACATGTCTGAAGTTTATTAAGGCTGCAAGAGAGTAAGCAAGACTTTTCATTGGACAACTTGTTATGGAACAAGCAGGGATGCTGAAATGTTGGTTTCTTTTGGGAAACCTTGAATTTAAGGCAGTCATAATAATTGTATAACTTTAAAATTAAAAATGCCAACTTTTAATCATTTCGCCTTTGTTATAAAGTAGTAATAAAATCTTTCATTCCAGGACATTGGTATAATGCTGTTCTTACATAGTATTTTAGTGCCTAAAAAGAAACTGGGATCATTTAAAATCTGTATCCAGAGGTCAAAACTTTTCAAAATTAAAGTCAGCAAATTTTGGCCAGTCAAATTTGATCATTGGATCTTTGTAGCAGACCTTGCTTACATATATTTGCAACAGTGCAACTCTAATAGACGCAAAGTATGGAACACACTAATCCTGAATACCATCTATATATACCATCACACCCAACTTCAAAACTTCAATGGACAAGTTCAGATAGGCATTTTGATGACCAATAACAAACAAAAATATTTTAACTCTTTGAGCAGGTAACTCGGTGAGCCAGCTGCTAAGTTGTTCTGAACAACTTAGCATATTAATTTTTAAATTATTATTTGATCTTATCAACAGACATTGCAAAGAGGTAAATAACAAACAGCGGAAAAACATTTTTCACATCCTTACCTTGTTTGAGGCCATCTCGCTGACCGAGTGTCTTGTCTGCAGCGTCTCCAGCTGGTCCAGGCACCAGTCCAGCTCCTCCAGGGTCTCGGTGGCCAGTTTCTGGTAGGCCTCCTCTGCGGGGGCAAGACAGGAGGGCAACGGGTCAGTGTGGGCCCGCTTCAGAGGACGAATGGCTGGTCCGGGGCCTCCCACCCCACAAACGGTTAAGCTGGGATACCCCGAGTAAACATATGGGTGACTCTTCATAATGGAACAGGTGAGCCAGCTGTAACGGCCTGGGAGAGGGGCCTTCTCTGTCTTCGTATGCCACCTTGCAGCACAGCTGGAGCACACCTCGCTGACTTTTTGCAAAAAGTTCAGTTCTGCACTCTCAACCTTGGATTTTTCCTTGAACGCAAACTCAGCTTCAGGCCCCTGGAGTGTTGTGGTTGTCGACGGGTGGCGATCTGCCACCCTGTTAGTTCTTTGCCCAGATGTTAAGCCTCAGCAGATGTTGACACGGACTAAACACAACAGCAGAAACTTGTCAGACTCATTCATGAGCAGCCGTACACAGCGGGATGTAGAGAGTGTATTCTCTCATTCTTAGAGGAAGTGTAATTCCAGTCATGTAGCAGGATGAATAACAGTCTGTTTAGCAGGCCCATGTCTGCTATCGGATGGCCAGAGAGGAGACAGGGATGATGGGAAGAAGATGATCTGGTGAGCACCTCAGAGCCAGTCAGCATCCACAGGAGTCCAACGGTCCAGCACAGACCAAGCATGTCCACTGCACCAAGACATGGTCAAACAGCACAAAGACATTTCACACAAACACACACACTTGGAAGCAAGCAGACACACACACACACACCCTCACACCAGCTGAAAATCTACCCATAACTCATCCTGGTTTTGTCTCCTTTGCCCCCCTACCAATAATAAAAAAAAAACACAAACAAAAAAAAAACCATCCACAGTATCCAAGAAGCAAGTGGGTACAAGCTGGCGTTGTGTGTCTGTGCCGGATGGTGTATCCTACAGATGCTGTGTAAATAGGTGGGGGAGGGGGGGGTAAGGAGGGTGGGCTGCTGTTGCTTCGGCGTCCCTGGTAGCCAAACGTGCTGCTCTCCCCAAGCTGTACCTAAAGCCTGAGAGGACTGCGCCGTGGACGGGGAAGGGAGGCACACAAAACATGGAGTGGATAAAAATAAAAATAAGAAGAGGAGCCAGAACTTGCAGCTCCAAACGCTGTGTGTGTGTGTGCATGCATATGTGCTCCGTGTACAAACACCAGCAAAAACAAAGAGGTAGTTGACAAAAATATGATAAAAGTCTCAGCTTCACAAGCTTTCCACGTGACAAATTTCTCTGTTTTTTCTTTTTTTTGTCTCAAAACAGAAGAGGAAATGTCACCTTGCCAGACACCAGTTTGTACTAATTCCCTTCATAATGAAGAAAGCAAAGGATTTAAATAGTTTGTGAAAGGAAGTGGTGGTTAAAAGGTTGGGAGCTGTATCATTTCAGCACTGCAGCAAACATTTTCTTGCATGCCTAAATGTAGCAGCAGTGCTAAACATGTGGAATTTCTGTTTTTTTAACACTGAATTACTGATGTCTTATTGCTGCAATCGCATATGTACATTTTATCTCATGAATATTTCGAAATTCAAGAACAATTTCGGTTCAATTAATCTGAAATGTGTTTTTAGATTATGCAAAATGTTCAGAAAGAACTGCTCCATCCTTGCACATTTTTGAAAGGACAATTTTTGGTTACTCTTGACTCTACCTCTAAATCTTTATCATCTCATATGCAAAAGTCTCTCCTGCTTCACTGCCTTTAACACATTCTCTTTCCCTTTCTTGCATTTTATGCTTCCTCCACTGCTCATCCTTCCCTTCGCTCCCCCCCCCTTTTTTTTGCCTCTCTTCTTTCAACCTTTCAGCCTCCCTTTTTTTGTGTCACCGTCTTTCTCCCCCGGTGTGGTGTCAGTGACTCGGGTGCTACTCTTTCTGACAGCAACTGCACTGACGTCAATGACATTCTTCTCATGCTTAGTGCGACATCAGACACCGGCGCTCGGAGAGGCCACTCTGCTGCACAGACGCAGGGCTGGAGCCAAACTATGGAACAGCTTAACGGCGGAGTTGGAGTGGCAATGGAAAGGAATGACATTCAAAGAGTAACAGGAGGGGAGGAAAGGGACAAGCCAAGAAAAGGAGGGACCCTGACCCTTGATCAAGGTAAAAGCATGTGAACCCTCACACATTTTAACCACAAACTTCACTGCACTGAATAATGAAGGAAAATAAAACAGTTTTTTCCTTTCATCAACAGTTTGTAGGGTGCTGAATATAAAGGCAAAGCACACTTTTCAGATTTTTATTTGCAAAACGTTTTGCAAACCATGCATTGTTTTTCTTGCTCAACATAATCCTACCACTTTCTATGAATTATGGAAACACCTTCCAAAAACATGCAGAGGAACATATATTATTATAATTTAGGTTATTTCAGACTTAGGTAGATAGGTTTTTTTAAATTTCCTAATGTACTTCAACAAGTAAATCTAACAAAACTAGAAAACCCCAAGATCCTCAAATCAAATTGTAACGTTATTGCTCCTGGGAAAATCATTGAGATAATATTAATTATGTTCTTTTATTGCTTTGCTCTGGAAGCTGGCTTGTTGCAGAGTCAGTATGCGTTTACATATGATGATCGGTCAATACTCTGACGTAATGATGCCCATGACTCACAGCTGTCACCACTTTATGGCAGGAGCAATAATGACTTGCAGCAATAGGATTGTGTGCTAAAAATAGCACAATGTCACTGGGACCCCGATATGCAAGCAGGTCATGAACGATTTCAGATGCGACACTCAGAGAACTGCTTTAGATACATTTTTAATCTTGAAGGGAAATGTGACACATTCACTATTTTGAGTACCCTGCTTTGTACTTTCGTACTAAAATCAGTAAATATTTTCACTTTTATGTAAAAGTGCTTTTTTTTGGTTCTGTGGATGTCTTTGCTATCGTGATCCTTGTACTAACTGGGAAATGTGAAAGGTTTATCGGTTTTGAAAGTCATATGGAAAGTCTTGGCAAACATGAGCTGGGTTACAGCGACTGGAAGTGTTGTACTGTGAAGAGTGAATCTTTTTGAGCCATCTGATACAGTCTGCACAATGCCATCTTCAGAAAACCCATTCAGAAGAGGCCAGACAGGTTGTACAGTGAAAGATGGCTGTCTAACAGGTAAAGGACAGCTCTGAATACACATTCAATAATCAATTACTCTTATGTTGGCACTGATATGTCTATATCTGAAAAAAATATATAGTTGATCACCATGAATATGAATAATTGGTCTTGTTGTCTGTCTAAGCAGTTCTTAGAATTTGAAAAAGTAAATCAATAGTAAAAAAAAAGGAAATGTATTTTTTCAAATGAACTCAGAATATTCATAAGGATGGAAACAGAAGGTGAGAACATCTGCTCATGAAAATAAGTACAGTGTATAACAAGTAAATCTAATGAAATGAAGTAACATTTCTTACCTGTAAAGGTGGTCTTGGTGATAGGGGGTGGGTTGCACATGGGTGATCTCCTGTCACAAACAGGCACATAACATTAAATGTCATTTAAAATTCTAACATTTTGCAGAACATTGAAACACAATCCATAACAAAGAAAAACAACATCTAGCGTTGGCTCAGTAAATGCAAAGAACCTTGACTGTTTGGAGCTACTGCAAAGAAATCACTCAACAAGCTATTGCAGTACTAAAAACAGACAGCAGAGGGCAGACAGAGCCAACTGTACAAGGCGAGTGTGTTTGAGGAATCCATTGGCTGAAATACAACACGAATTTAAAAACTGTGCCTTCAGTGTTTTATAATCTTATGAAAATAATAACCACTGTGATTCACGTCATTGCACTACTGTATTTCTACACCATCCCCGACGAAACAAACTGGTCAACTTTTTGTAGGGTCCTGAAAATAAATACATTGGATAACTTGTTTACATGTTTAGAAGCTAGTAAAATATCTCCTACATGTTTAGATGTTTAAGGTTGGAATAATCTAGAAATTAGGGGCTTCATCATGCCTGATTTTATCTCAGTAATCACAAGTAATGAAAGCAACTTACTTATTAGATGCTCGGTCTTGCTGTAGATTGGTTAATGCACCAAAGTTGTTCCGTACAGTTCTCAAGCTTGCAAGAACCTGAGAGCAGGATATGATTAATTAGGATTTGATCAGGCATTGATCATCACAATTTGCAACATTAAGACAAATTCACATACCTGTGCAAATGGCGTTACAATCATATCGTCACCATGACTGAAAGAAATAAAGAAAGTGGAGTCTATGTTAGTGGAAACTCCTATATTGCTGAAATTTAACAATATGTTGTGCTCTGGAACCTATGAAGCTGTAGATAAGGGGTAGTAAAAAACTGTCACCCCAATGTTTGTACTGTGGAATAGTAAGTAACTGTCTGAGCTCAAAGACCTGCTGCAAACAGAAAAGCTCAACAACTTTGATAAATAAGGAAGAGCAAGGCCTTTGAGAGCTTTGAAAACAAATAATGAAAGTTTAAAATGTATTCTGTAATGGTGGGGTAGCGAGCGTAGTGAAAATACTTTAAGAAAAATATTAAATATATTGGAAAATATGAGAAAATGTTAACAAAAAGTAACATCAGAGCCTAGTTTTTTGTGCTTTTTTTGTGCTTAATCGCAGCAAGGCTGCTGTGAAGGATGTTAGCTTCTATGCACCTGTGAAAACATCCCTACATTTTTTCCCCCATTTTTCCTTCTCTTCTTTTAAAGGAAAAGTTCTTATTATTTAAAGTTGTTTTTTGTTGAGATGTCTTAATCAGACAACAATTTACTCCATTATCAGTTACTCAATTATTTAGTTTCTTTAGCTGTCCAGCATTTTAGTCAACTGTTGTTTTTAAATCTGCTCTTGAAAAAATGTGACTTTGACTTCAAGGTTTAAGCACTTTTGGTTGAAATGTAACTTTACAGATTAAATATTAAAATCACACATGTTTGGTTTACCTGCATTGATTGTCTTGGGTGTCAAATGTTTACCTAAAGTTTGAGGCTCAATAAGGTTTAGCTAAAAAGCCTTGATTAAAGTTGATACCAACCCAAAAGGGAAACTACAGCTACTACTGATGTAACCAATAAACTGAAGACAAAGATACACACAGACTGGCAACAGGTGCAGGGGAATGATGACAATGGCTATCCTGTTGCAAAAACACCGTAGCGACAACATTTCCTTCATTTGTACTTTCAGCATGTGAACTGATATTTGTGGGATAAAAATCTAATGAGATCTAAATCTCATTAGATTTTTAGGCCATTATTTCAATGTGCAGTAATATGATGCTACATATTGTCAAAATGTGTTTGTGCCACATGCTTGCTCAATTAAATGGGCATGAGTTAGTGTTAAGTTATGTGACAGCACACAACCATCTGCTGCTCATGCACTGAGGTCTAGAACCGGTCCTTAAAACATCCAGCTGTGACAGATCCACCAAAACACAAAAAGCCCCCACTGAGATTAACAGATGTACATTTTATTTGGGTGGACTGTCTAAGTGTTATAAATGAAAGGAAAATCTTTGTGCCACTCACATGTCACTGGCAATGGAGGAGTTTCGGGACATGGACTTGGGCGAGAGGTCGTAGTCGCTGTCCGAGCGGTAGAGGAACGACTCTCTCCGCTGGCTGTGGACAAAGTTGGCCTGCAGGATGAGGCCTGAGCCCGGGCTGGCCATCGGGTCCAGGGGGCTTCGACCTGACGACGTGCCATTGTCCACATCAAAGCTGCAGGCAAAAAAAAAGAAGAAAAAGGGGTATTAAAATCTGAACAGGTGTTTTTCAGAAGGTTTGTAAACGATTAAACTAAGAACTTTGCAATCCGTTGGTGATTGGGGATAAATATTTTACAAAGCTTTGTAGTTATCTTTATATGGCAGCACTGTTCAATATTTTGAATATGCCTGGAATTCAAGTGTTGAGTCTGACTTATTTATGATGTTGTATAAAGTTCTGGGAGATATAAAAAAATTCCACAGTTACATTCTTAAATGTAACTCTTAATATATCTTAATATATATAAAATAAAATCCCGATTGTGAATTATATATATATATATATATATATATATATATATATATATATATATATATATATATATATATATATATAAAAGACATCAAATCATTGTAATGTGATTACAAAAGTGGGTTCCTACGGTTCCTACTCTATTTTCAATCACTTAGGCTTATAATTTATCACAGCAGGTTTTCTCACTAGTCCTGGACCATATAAATCTGTTCACACAGAACCACACTCAGCATGCTTTATTCCAACCCTCCTCAGTACTACAGGGAATACCTTAGTTCTGATACTGCTAATGACTCACAGCTAAGCAGTGTTTTTTAACCAGTGACACCACTTCCTATTGGGATGTCATGCTGAGCTCCTTAGTCTCCAAGGTGATTGTGCACCCAAGTGATGACTAATGCATATCTACAGAGACGTCTCCCTCATCGCCAAGGCTGGGACGCAATCCTATAATCTGGTCTGGGGAGGATGCTAAGGTCAGTGTGGGATTCCCCTCAACACAATGCGTAATACCCAGAAGGGTGACGTCTTCTTATCTTATCATAATCATCACAGTGATACATAACAAATGAATGTGCAAACCTGTGCACATGTGACAGCCTAAAATATGCAGAGTGAACACTTATTGAAATTAAAACTTTAAAAAAAATTTGACGGTATGTAGACAGGCTATATGTTGTTGAAAGTCCCCCGATATTAAATGTACTTGTGTAAATAAAAGCATTCATTCAAAGTAATCTGGCTCCTTTTCTTTAACTCCAAGATAAAACCTAACTTCTTCAGATAAAGTTGCAGAATGCCTGCAGGTATGGAAAAACCCTGGCTTGGTTTGAAAAGACAATAGAATAAAAGTTGGCAAGTGAGACCCACAAATGTGCGAATATGTTGCCTACTTTGTATGAGAAAGTAGAGAATCGAGTGTATGGGTTTTACTTAAGTAAAGCCAATGTATCCAGAGTTACATTCTTAAATGTAACTCTTAAGTTCCAACAGTACAACTGCTATATTATCTAACAAGAAATAAATTGAGAAATTAAAGAGGTCAAGCAGAGTACAGCAAAGTTGCTCTGTTCTCCTCATGAGCTTTAATTGTGTTTTTGCCATTAAAATTTCTGGATTTGGAAATGTCAACTTTTTACTCTGTGTTAACGTTTACATTCTGTAGGGTATGAATCTGAAGACTGATGTTTTGCCATGTTAGCCACACCAAACACACCAATGTCTAACAGAGTCAATGCTATTCTTGTATCATTTGTTTATATCACTGTTCTCTTTATAAACATCGAAGATCAAAAATTAGTGCAATCTGTAAAATATCTAGCTGTAGTCACATCTTATCAAGCTCCTCGAAAGCCACACTGCAACACAGGACATGCCAGGCATATTTTCCTGAATACTTAAAGGGCTAAATGATCCACCTTCTTCCTGTGATATAACTGATGGCAGAAGCTGACTGAGAGTGAGCTTTTGTTGGGGAATAGGATAGTTTGGCTGCCTGCCTGGAGCAAAGGGCAATTGTATTGTCCTTCTTAGACAAAAAAGACACACAAAGTACTGCAGAAATGACTGGTAACTTCTCTCAAAAGTTGCTCTCTACCCTCTCAAAGAGCACCAATCGGTCTGAACCTCCCTCATATCACCCATTTTCACACTCTTATCAAGCCAAGTAATCATTCTGCTGTCTTTACTGCAAGTGTGAGAACCCCAACTCACACCAGTGAAAGATAAGTCATCACTGCTAACACAGGCCAGCTCGTCATGCAGCTGCTCTGTGTGGTAAGTGCACATGAATGAGTACATCCTGCATGTGAACAAGAAAAAGATTTCAAACTGAGACAGAGAAAGTGTTGACACAGAGCCTCTAGCATATGTTTAACATCTGATCACACTCTGACGTCAAAGCCCAATCTCAGTCTCACCTAAACTGCATGTGTGGTTTTACTCTATAGACACACCCTCCCTCCTCTGGCATAACAAATAAGTCTTGGAGCAAAGTTAGCATAGTATTGCACCAACATTGACATCATAGTTGGAATACCTGTTTTCCAACAAAGTAAATAAAGAAAAAAAAAGAGAGAAAAGAAGGCCAACACTATAGTAGAAATAAACAGAAGACTAAGTGAGTGAGCACAGACTAGCGGGTATTGACAATAAATGGATGGATGGATGTCAGATAGTAAGTGTTTCTGAGATTGCTACCTCTTTAAAAACTTGGAATTTTTTTCAAGAGTTGTCAGTCTTAAATAAATATGTTGCTAAAATTTGGTGTCAATATATCAATTATCATTCCAAAAACAACAACAACAAAAAAGAAAATCATCCAAATTTAAAAACAATGTGCTGTTATTTCAAAAACATTATAAAACTGTTACGATCATCCAACGTCATTTTTCTGTTGTTGGCTTTAGTACAACAAACGCATAATGAGAGCTGATCGGACTGTGGTTGTCGTAATAAACATAGAAAATACCCTTTTTCTTTTTAAATCTACTTAATCAAACTTTTAATCTACAGAACTCATTAATGGTTCCTGGGAGCTCACCAAGCCAAAAATATGTGTGGGCTGCTTTCTGAAAGCTAAGTTACTTAGTACTTCAGTGAGTGGGAAAAACTACAAGACTTTCTTTATCTCTTTAAAAAGATTTCGAACCATGGGAACATTCTCCATCACTTTTAACCCTTCAACCCTTCCGCGGTCTTAAGAAATGGGGTCATTTGGACCCCATTAATTTTTTTTTTGCACTGACATTGTGTGGGCTTTTACGAGTTATTTTTGCGTGTAGTTTCAAGAACTGACAGGGTGAAACCCCACTTTCCCAATGTCCGACAGTGACATTTGCCAAGGTTACAGCCTGATTAATAAAAAACAATAGCACATAGATAATATGTCTCACAAAGAAGAAATTGACTAAAATACAACTAATGCACTGACAGTCCAGTCAAACATTTTCATTAGCCGTTTTCTATGTCTTATTATTATAACTATATTATTAATTATTAGTTTTTGTAGTTTGACTCTGCGAAAGACAAAATTGTCACAGTTTCTTTATTTTACTGTAAACATTTTGAATGAAAAGTTTTGTATTCTGTGAAATTCTTGTTGCATTTAACGATCCTTGTTCTACAAACAGCCCAAAGGAGGTGCAGGGTTCGATGCAGATGTTATTTTTTGTTTGTTTTAAGTAACAAATTTTAAAGTGGAGTTCCCAGATATGAGCACATCAAAAATGATAAAATGATTATTGAAAAACAACTACATAACAGGGAACAACTCAGATTCTCAATGTAGCTCCTTTGTGACTCTTCAGGAATAACTATTTTTTCCTCCACAACTGAAGTACTGATTTAAACTGGCATATAATTTTCCTAAGTCTTTGTACATTCAGTGACTGGTTTTGGTTGACACATTTGCTGTTAAATTTCTCATCTTTATTCCTTTTCATCACCCCCTCACACATTTGCTCTCAAACACTGAATTAGTTTATCTCCTTACTTCCAAAACGCTGAGTCTACTCTGAATGATCCACTTAGTTAAAAATGGCAAAGTGGGGTACTGCTGTCAAATTATTCTGGGACACGACCTACATTTAACAGCTATTCTGCAAATGTGGATCTTAGTGATACCACTACGTAAGAACAGGACTTTGACATCTTTTTGTGTTCTAGTTTGGGAGCAGAGCCGCTCATTCCTGTAAGTGAATGAGCGGTTCACTTACAGGAACCGCTCATAGAAAACTAAATGACAAAAAATGAATATGCTGCTTATTGTGGCATATTTTTAATGTAGAAAGTGGCCTGTAACAATGTTCTGCTGAACTTTTCACTTTGTAACTGGAGTCAGGAGTTGACATAATTTGATTTGAGGGTCAAAACTCAGAGTTTGTGAGTCTGTGCCATCTTTATTCTCTTTCTGAGGTCAGCTGGTCCTATTTGACAAATAGACAAAAACAAAGCATTTCACTATTATGTCCCCCAACCATGCAGGGAATCAAACTCCATAATATACATATTAGTATATATTCATTAATCTTTGTTTTTACAGCTTTAATCTAAGCAAGATTAAAACTTTCTGAAGTTAGCTCAACAGTGAGGAGAGAAACATTTCTCTTCACCGTTTCTCGCTAGCCTGCTTCCTTTTGTGTCCATAGCTTTCTAAAAATAAAGCAAGAGTTGTCTTCCCGCTGTCTGCTTTTGCACACAGCTTGTAAACATTTGGGATTCTGGGTTTATAAGATCGTTTTCTATTATTTGTTTTAAAGCTCTTGGTTGAGTTAAATATAAACCGCACACTCTTTGCACTTGGTCGCACATTTAAAAGAGACACACAGCTATGTTTGTGTTATGTAATGTGACCAACATTGTTCTCATGGATACACCCTCAGGTGGGTCAGAATCCCATCTATCCTCATCCTTACTGATCTGCTTAAAAAGATACGCTATGCTCTGTGTAACAGCTCAGAGCTTAAAGTGAATCAGTGAACTAACCATTTTCTGTTTTGGTGTAAGAGGAGAACAAGGAAAAAACGAAGAGGTGAGTGAACAGTGAAAAATAGATGGAGACAGAAGGAAAGGACGTGAGCAAGGTGTTGCACTGCGTCCTGTGGCATGTCCATGACCTACGGTTTTAAAATGGCAGCAGAGTTTTTATTTCAGGTGTCCCAGAGGAATGAGCTGCTATGAGATTATCATAAAATTAT